AATTGAAAAGTAAAGTCTTTAAACAAAATGCTGTGTACGTACATTCATACATATGTATGTATGTATGTATACATACTCATGCATATACACACCTACGGTGAAAATAATAGCAGCACAACATTTTGGCCAGTTTTGAATATTTTTTTGTTTGTTTGTTAAAGTTCATAGATTTTTTTTTTTTAAGTATAGCTCATTCATTATTTAACAAAAGCTATATAAATTCAAATTTCAAACTTCGTACAAATATTAAAAAAAAAATCACCAAAAATTTCAAACATTTTTAATGAGAACTTTAGGCATTAAATTTTAATATGAACACAGTGCAAGTTCGAAGTTGGTAAAAAATGTCGTTTATGCTGGTTTTTATTTTTTTTTGCTAACGCAAAAATTTTTTACATTTTTTAAATTTATGTACATGCGTTTGTATTTGGATTTACAAAGTTACTGTTTTATAATCAGCTATATTTTTATAAAAAACAATTAATGAACATAAAACGAATAAAATAAAAGCAGTCAAAACTGGGTAAAATATTGCGCTGCTATTATTTTCACCGTAGATGTATGTATGTATGTACTTACTTATGTACATATTTCATTAAGAATAAAATACGATTTCGTTCTCACACTTAAATTTATTCTCCTGTTCGCCGTTTCAGTGTTGAAGTATAAACGAAACAACGAAGTACTGAAAATGAAAGTGAATTACACAAAAAAAATATTCAAATAAGTATTGCATAAAAATAATTTGTGGCCTTAATTTGCTTATTTACGTATACAACGGAAATTAAGAAAAATGAATTATACTTCGACATTTGTTCTACTTTTGATTTGCTTGAGTTTTTTGTTTATTATCGCTCCCCGGCAAATTGATGCAGAGCCACGGGTTGGCAGTGGAATTTTGTCAACTATTCGCTCCGCTCAAGTGTGTGTTTTTTTTGTTATAAATTAATTTAATTAAAGCATATAAGAATATAGTAATAATTTATTTTATCGATCTAAGGGTATACCACCGGAATCGCTTGTACCTCGCAGACGTGTAAAACGTATCAAAAGAAATGGCTTCGATCTTGCTCCAGATCACGGAGATGAATTCATAAACCCAACCCAACGCACTAAAGAACGTTTTCCCGTATGGGATGATGCAAATGGAGAGCCACCATTGAATTAAATATTAAGTTTATTTACATAAATACATATTTACAGCTATTTTCACGAAAGCAATTTAAGTGAAATATTATTTTAATTTTTTGGATCTAATAGGCAAATTGACAGTAAATAAAAAATTATTTTAAATTTAAATTGCTGGTGAAACCGGCGGTTAGTGCAAGAGAAATTTTGTATCGCTTGTGATTTTAATTTGATATTTCAGGTGCTGAGTTATCATAGCGCAAATAAGTTAAGGAAAGTACAAATATACAGTGCTGAACAAAATAATAGAAACAAAAAATGTTTACAAGTTTTGAATACTTTTTCAAGATTTTATTTAACTTGCTTTGTGTGTATGTGTGGAAGTATATTTGTTTTGGGTCACATCTTGCAATTAACTTTTAACCCAACTTCCCGATGAGCTAGAGACTTGTAATTTCAAACCTGGCTCAGAATCCGATGACAATGCAATATGAAAGAAGAACTAATCTGTTAGGTGGCGGTGGAGTCGAGATTTTTAAAGCACCGTATTTATCAGCCGACTTGATTCCTCTTAGGAATTTATATTACCTACATGGAAGTTAAAAAATATTTGCCTTTAGGTGGCGCGGAAATTTCGAAATGAATAACCCCACAAAAAAGTTTGCCGATAGGTGACGCTGGAGTCGAGATATTTGGAAACCCCGTATTTATGGTGCGATTGGGTTCATATTAAAAAGCCTTTTTAAATCTTTTTTTACAATTAACTTATTCTTTTGTTTATTTAATGTTTAATAATTTTTCATATAAATCAACATTTCAACCTTGAACAGAAGTTACAAAAAAATTCAATTTGCAAATTTGTTTATACAATATTTTAATATAATAAGCGTTTTTAGAAAAAAATCTGTTTACTTTCTAAGCCGACCAATTTGCCACTTGTACCTCGTTATAGTCGGGTGGTGAGATCGAGTCCGTCGTCTTCGACTAGGTGCTCGGGTTCATCCCTTCCGCTGCTTTCAACGCTGTTTCCACTCAGTAAGATGTAGGTTTGTTCCCTCTATAATTTAAGCCTGTTTTGGATATTCGTCCCTAAGGCGCCGGTTTTGTTCTTGTAGGAATTCACCCTGGTATCAAACACATTCGTATGCTGCCCCAACTCCCTGGTAAAATAGTTGGACGTTTTTCCTGTCGGCGAGAGAATTTCAAATTCTTTGCACTCACGTTTTTCGGCTTACCCGTTTTATTACGCAAAATACTCTTTATTCGGTGGTACTTAATCAAGGGAAGTGTTGTCCTACCGAAAGCAGGTGTGAGGGTCGTGTTACGAAGCTGATGGCTATCGGTTGTGGTCTCGAACCTGCTTTGTGCTTTGGAGTACCGAAGATCCATCCTTGACCGACCTGGCATTGGAATCGTCCAGCATAATTTTATTGTGGCTTGTGAAAAAATCTTGGTCAAAATGGTAAGACAGACAAAAAACTAAGATGGTTCCATAGAAATAATTGTCTTTTTTTTTGGTAGTAAATAGTAGTTTAGGTTGTATTTACCAGCTGATTAGATTTGATTTTTTCAAAATATTTAGTCTCTAAACTGTCAAATATTGTTAATTTTTTTTACGAAAATTCTTAATTGGTAAAATGTATTTACATGGGAATCTTCAAAAAAGCGATTGAAAACCAATTTAAATTTTTTATTTAAATATTTGTTGATATTTCACACCGCAATAGAATATTTTTTGACACTTTAGATACCAGAAACAACAACAAAATATGAGTTGGTTGAGTATATCGATGGCTGAGTGGAAGATCGAACTATCACGGCAGCCGGTTCGAAAACGCCATTTCTAAACATATTTTACATTTATTTTCAGTTGAGATATGGCATTTTTTGATCGAAATTCTGAGGTAAGACGTTCCTGCGCCATTTTCTGAGGTACAACATTTTCGAACCTTCTGTCGAGATTTTCCACTCAGCCGTCGATATGTATTAAAAAATTAGAGGTAAATTTTTAATCTCATTTTTGCAAAATGAAATTATATTTCGTGGAGAAAAGCTACCCGCTTTCATAACCAAATACCTATATTTCTCAGCTTTCAAAAGAACATCTCTTTAAGTTTTTCAAAATGATTCCATACTTATTCCATTCAATTGCAGGCAATAGCATCGCACCAATCTATAAGGCATTCAATTGATATTTTTTTACGATTTTGTAAGTCATTTAAGCAAATCATATATATTTTATTAATTTGAAAAAGTCCGACTAAAAAAAGTGTATAAGATAATTTCTACCTTATCACCACTTTCTTTAATATCCATTATTTTTCGAAATGAGCAAATAAGTTCGAAGAAAAACAACGAAGGGAAGCCGGGGTACAAACACGTAAATCAATTACACAAATAGACTGAAATGCAGTATTGTATACATAAATATTAACCTATCTATGAACAAGCATTTATATTTACGTGCACACTGAGTGCTTACGTTCATTTATAACACCTAAGACACCATCACCTAATGTCTTGGATTGCACTTTTGCTTTGCGTGACGAAAGTTTTTAACACCCCCGAAAAGTTGTATTTGAAACAAACGGAAAAGGAAAGTAAATATTGTGAAAATCTACCTCTGTTTTGCTGCATTTCCCGTTTGCGATTATTTTAAGTTGTTTCGTGCAGCCATCAATAAAATTAGTGTATTTATTTGATTTGTCTTATGACACTTTGATCTAGTTAATGGTTATGTAAATGTAGGCAAATCAAAATGAAGTTTGAAGTAAATAAAACACCGTGGCATGCAAAATCTGATTACTGAAAATTAATTTTTTTATCTAATAAAGTTAGTGGCGCAACATTTGCTTAAATTAATTTAAGTGTGTATGTATAATGAAGCATGAAGTATTCCAAAAAAGCTTAACTAGCTTAAAAGCTGGACTAACAAGGCATATTTCGACAGGTAGGCAAAAGCGATTTCCAAAAAAAAAAAAACGAAATTTTACCTCACCTTAATGTATGCACATATCGCTCATTTACTAATGGCGATTTCGTTTCTTCAAGAAATGTTGCCTTCTCATCGCCCTCTTCTTAGTGTTTGTGCCGAGAGGGCAAACAGAAGGTTGCATTTTTCGGTAGAAACGAAATCGGCATAAGACTTTCACAGAGAACAGAATATGCGTTCCTATTTTCTGCAACTTCAAAGTGAACTGAAAGCTTAAAATGGCTCTCCTGAAAATTTTCGTTTTTTGACTTGTGACAGTCCTTAACGCCATATTATTGGAAAAACAACTATAATTTATAATAGGCCTTCAGCTAGTATTTCGAAGATCTCCACAACTATTAAACAGATTTCTTCCCGAGCTCACGAGGGTGACTTCATATTTCATACATATGTATGTATATACAATACCTATGTATTAGGGATATTAATCCCGGGATCCCGGCCTTTTTTAGTGTCGAAAATCCCGGGATTTGTAATTTGCAATGGTGGCAATAATAGAAACTCCTTATGTTGACCAGTTTGTGCTATATTTTTTTTGTTTATTTAATATTTAATATTTTTTTTATATATGCCTAGCTAATAATACCTACACATAATACCGTGCGACAGGCAATTTTACACACACAAAAAATCAATATATTCGTGAAGCCATGGGCCAAGTATATGCAGTAAAATTGCGTTCTCCGGTTTTCTCTCTGACGTCAGGATTTTTTAAAAGGACTTTGAAAATTAAATAGTATGAGTAATTCAGAAAATGGTTTACTTACCAAGACAGTATGGGTATCAAATTAAAGAGAAATTCTGAAGAGAAAGAACAGATGAAATTTTTTGGCGCATAAGATATTGAGAATGTTCTTACAAATTTTATCCTTGAATATCCTTAAATTGTTGCATATTTATTTTGAAAAATTATACGTTAAGAACTAATATAAACTCAATAACGTCCTCCAATATAGTCCTTCTAACTTTATTAGCTTAAGATAATAAAATTGATTGCGAACCCAAAAAATTTTAATTTTTTTTTTAAGCCTACAAAATTTTTTCTTCCATTTGGGACCCATCTTTATTATACATTGCACTGAATTGTTTAAGCAATTTTTAGAATTTACCATATCGTTGAAATTATAAAATTCAAATAAAAAAAAATCTAAAACTAAAAACGCACTTTTACTATATTTGTCCCATAGTGTCGTGAGTATATTGATTGCTTGATATTTATGTTTTGAATTGTTTTTGTTTCAACCTGCTTCAATTTTTTACTCAGAATTTTTAGAAAAATTCTAGATACGCAATTTTATAAGTATAGCCCATTAAATTACGGTAGGATAAAGTGCAAGTTTCAAGTGACTAAAAGTAACGTTGATTTTTTTAAATTTTGTTGCTGGCGGTTTCACGCATTTTCTGCCATGCAAAGTATGTTCGACAATTTGCTTATATGGAAGAAAATGTCCAGCATCTTTTAAAAAAATTCCCAAAAATCAACAGTATTTTGTAACTGCATGAAACTTGCATTTTATCCTACTTTAATTTAATGGGCTATAAAACTGCGTACTTTAAATTTTTCTAAAAATGCTGAGTAAAAAGTTTGAAATTTTTGCATTTTTTTTGGATTTTTATTATTTTTGTATAAATTGGTTTGTTTGTTATTTTTGGCCAAACATTGTTACAAACAATTATATTCAACAATTTTATTGAGCTTGAGGCCGTTTTTTAATGAAAACTTTTGTGGAACAATTTAGTATAAATTTTGAAATGCGCATTTAAATACAGTTAATTACATGTAAAATGAGGTAGACTTTTATAAAAAAAAATTAAATATTAAATAAAGGAAAGAAATATAGACTAAACTGGTTGAAAGAAGGCGTTTCTTTTATTTCTGCCGCTAGTATTATGAATTTCTTTCAGCCACACAATACATATGTTGACTTAAGTTTTTTTTTGCATCGAGCTTTTTTCGACATGCCTTAAGTTACTTTATCAGATACATATGTACACGCTAAAGTATTGTTAAATGCGTATACATTTAAATACTGCCTTTTGTTTTGTTAGTAGTGAAATATTTTTCAACTTAAATAATAAAGTAGATTTAAAACCCATTTAATTATTATTTATTATATGGTAGGACAGCTTCTCAAACTATAATGATGCAATTTTTTTTATGTTGAGTTGTTGGAAAATAAAGAATATCTGAATCCTGCGACTAATCCCAGGAT